GTGTGTGTGTGTGTGTGTGTGTGTTAGTGTGTGTGTGATGTGTGTGCACGCGCGCGCGTGCGTGTGGGGTGTGTGTGTACATGTGTGGGTGCACGTGTATGATGTGTACACACATGTGTGTGTTTAAGAGATAATAAAAAGGGAAGACTTGGATGAGAGTAGATTGTGAGATCCTTGAGGACAAAAATAATTATGTTTGGGTCACTGTGGTTTTTTTTGTTGTTGTTGTTTTGTTTGTTTGTTTGTTTGTTTTTACAAGATCCTAATATTATACCTAGAATGACAGGATGGATCCGGCCAGTAGTTGCATAGAAGTTGAGGTCTGTCGGATCTTCTCGTAAACAGCTGTCCTCAGGCTCTTCACTCATCTAGTACTTGGTAGAAAGAGGTGTCTAGATCATTCCTGGACAGTCCTGGATGGGCAGCTGATCCAAAACGCTAAGGATCCTGGTAGCTCTCAGAGGTAGATCTCAGAGCTAAAGCTCGAGCAGCGCCACCTCGTGGTGAATGTTGGGAGAGCTTCCGGGGACACTAGCTGAGAACGCGAAGCTGCAGGCAGGTTTGGGGGGGCCCGCCATTCTCCTTCATGTTATGTTGTCAGGGCAGTGTTGCTGTCACAGTTTTTATTTTAAATCATCCCTCCATGTTTTGGAAGTAGTGGATCATGCATCTGAGGCTGGCCTCAAGTTTCCCATGTGCTGAGGATAACGGTGTATACCTGATTATTTTGCCTGCACCCCCTGAGTGCTAGGATTTGTGGGGCAGCCATACCCAGTTTATAGAGTTCTGGGGACCAAACGCAGGGCTTTGTGCATGGTAGGCAAGTATTCTATCAACAGAGTTACACCCCCAGGCTTAATTACCCCCTTCTTACATCATTCTTTTTGGAGGATGTGTTCCATGTCAAGCTTTAGGGGCTACAGAGTCAAACATAGTCCTCAAGCAACTCATATAGCAGCAAAATTCAAATGGTAATAAAATCAAAAAAGGTGGAGCTGGAGAGATGGCTCAGTGGTTAAGAGCACTGACTGCTCTTCCAGAGGTCCTGAGTTCAATTTCCAGCATCCACAGGGCAGTTCACAACCGTCTGTAACTCCAGTTCCAGGGGATCTGACACCCTCACACAGACATATGTACAGGCAATACACCAATGCACATAAAATAAAAATAAATAAGTTATTTTTAAAAGTCAACAAAGGTGCCAGGCGTGGTGGCACAGGCCTTTACTCCCAGCATTTGGGAGGCCAGTCAGGGGGATCTCTGGGAGTTCAGGGCCAGTTTGATCTAAATAGAAAGTTCCAGGTAAGCCAGGGTTACATAGTGAGACCCTGTCTCAAATACAGTACCATCACCACCACCACCACAAAACCAAAACAAACCAAAAAGAGAAAACATAGCAAAGGTCATGTTTAAGAATCAGGAAAATGTTAGGCACCGAAATACAGTAAGATATTTCCAGCTCAAAGCTATGTGTCATCTCTCTTTCAAATCCTCTCCCAAAAGTTCCTGTGTGTCTTTGGCCAGAGGCAGGGTCTTAATGCTTTTCCCATGTTGGCCTCGAATTCTGGGTTCAAGGGATCCCCACTCTCAGCCCTCCCAAGTAACTGGGACTACAGGTGCATGTTCCTGCCCCTAGTGACGGTCAAAGGTTTTGCCCTCACCTTCTCTTTTTTTTTTTTTTTTTTTTTTTTTTTTTTTTTTTTTTTTTTTTTTTTTAAGATTTATTTATTTATTATGTATACAGCATATATGACTGCAGACCAGAAGAGGGCACCAGATCTCATTACAGATGGTTGTGAGCCACCATGTGGTTGCTGGGAATTGAACTCAGGACCTCTGGAAGAGCAGTCAGTGCTCTTAACCTCTGAGCCATCTCTCCAGCCCAAATCTTTTTTTTTTTTTTTTTTTTGGTTTTTCGAGACAGGGTTTCTCTGTGTAGCTTTGCGCCTTTCCTGGAACTCGCTTTGGAGACCAGGCTGGCCTCGAACTCACAGAGATCCGCCTGGCTCTGCCTCCCGAGTGCTGGGATTAAAGGCGTGCGCCACCACCACCCGGCGCCCTCACCTTCTCTTAAACTCTTTGTGATCTAGACCTCTTTCTCCCCCGGGCCTGATTCCCTGTGGAAGTCTTATGTCTTCCCATATTCTGAATGTACCTCTTCCCTCATCTCGGTGAGAACTGTCTCAAACGTCCTTACTGCCCTCACCCCCCAGGAGACCCTTCCATTTGCCTTGGCAGAGTGCCCTTGCTTGTCTGAGCTCTTGGAATGCTTTGCTGGTGGGGCTTCTCTTCACGAGACACCCACTGGCCGTCCTTGTATGCATGTGATCGACTAGGCTTCTACCTGCCTGAGGACACAGGCTCCATGCCCTCTTTGTCTTGCCATCCTTTCCAGCACTGAGATGGGGGCATCATCTGCCCTCATTAAATGATGAATAGGCAGGTTCGTGGATAAGGAAATAGATGCGTGGATAGCTGGATATGGAGAGGTGCTCAGATAAATGGCAGACGACTTGGTGGACAGGTCGGTAAATGGATAGTTGGGGTGCACGGATGCATGGATGGAGCATCCATCCACAAAATGGCTCACAAATCCTAGTTAATACAAGGAGATTCAAAAAAAGAGCCTACCCCATGCCATGCCATGCAGAGGCAGGAACAGCACCTAGCTTCATACTTCCTCACTAATATGTGGCACCTTGGAAACTTGTCTCCCAGAGGACTTCATGGATGTATTCTCATTCCCTGTAAGTCCAAGTCAAGGACTTTCCCTCTTTCCTATCCTCCCCCTTCTTCTTTTTTAAACTCGGGAGGGCTCACGAATGTGAACGTCACCCCTGCACAGGCACGGTGTGAGTCTCCTCTCTCCATCATTCCAGTGTCAGCGCATGTGTGAGTTCCCTGAAGGCAGAGAGCATGCCTGGGTCTCCTCTGCGTCCCTGGCACACATGGTCAACGGGCAAGTGAGTAGTTACGGACAGGGCTCATTCCTGTCCTCCATGGACACACTTTGCACACGTCCCAAGTCTCTCCCGGTGTTCAGCAGCTTCTCTTGTCCGCCTCTCCTCTCTCAAGAACACATCCACACCGCTGATCTCCGTGGCCTGTGTCTGGGTTTTCTCACCCATTTGTCACTGGCCTCCCTCAGGACACCTCAGAGTTCTCCCAGGTCTGAAAAGGATGGGTTCCTGGCTCCCTCTAATACCTTATCAAGTATGAAAGAACTGTGGGGCAGAAAATGCCCCCTGTTTGGGGTCCCCTGTTAACCTAAGATCTGGTGCTCCCAATGGAGCAATCCTCCTGCCCCTGTAGTCTTTTCTCCTCATCAGGGAAGAAGTTGGGGGGGGGGGAGGTGGCTGTGGCCTCCTTCAGGAGGCTGGGTGGCTGGCAGACACAGCTAGATTTAGAAGTCATTTTCACAGCAGGGAGTCGCTAACCTGCCACCCACAGGGTGGCCAGCCTAAGATACTACTTACCAGGGTCTGGCCCTGAAACCTGCTCTCTCTCTCTCTCTCTCTCTCTCTCTCTCTCTCTCTCTCTCTCTCTCTCTCTCTCTCTCCTTCTCGCCCAGAACTCTGGCAAATGGTCCTGACTTCATCCTTGGCGAGCTCTGCTGGAAGGCGTGTGTTAGTTACCCTGACACCTTAAATGCCCAAGTGTTCCCTGGACGAAAGGGGTGGTTGTCATCTAACCTAGGACTTGTCTTTTTCCATGTTGGGAACCAAACTCAGGACTTTGTATGTTCTAGGCCAGGATACCCCCGCTGAGCCGCCCTCCACCCTTACTCTCCCAGGGATGGATTCTGCTCCCTGGCCCCTTATTTTTTAGAGACAGAATTTTGATGGGCTGAGCTGGGCTGGAATTTGCTATGTAAACCAGGCTGGGCTTAAACTTGCAAGATCCTCCTACCTCTACCTCCAATTTAGAGGAAAGTGCTACCATGCCTGGCATCTTTTCCTCTCTTTTTAAAATATATATTTATTTTTGCCTGGATGGCCCGGAACTCACTCTGCAGAACACCCAGAGATCCACCTGCCTCTGCCTCCTGAGTGCTGAGATCAAAGGTGTGCGCCACCAGCTGGGTTCCTTTCTAATTTTTATCTAAATGTCACCTCCTCCATGGACTCTCCCTGGATCTCATAGGATCTCCCTTGATTGACTCCTCCCAGAACTTAACACAAGAACCCAGTACTTCATGGTTTCATCTTCTTTATCACACTGTTGGGCAGGCCTTGCCACAACTACCCTTTGAGCTCAGCCCAGGGACTCGTTCCCAGGGAGTGCTCAGTCAAGGCTGGGTTAGACTTGGCAGCAGTCAGAACTGCAGTAGAAAGTGGTAAGACCTTTGGTATCTTTGATCTTTGCCCAAGGTGACCTGGCCTCCTTGGCCTCCTCCACTAAGAGCCACAGGAAATGTGTAGGTTACAGACAGGATGACAGGTCAGTATTCCTGGGGAGCTCCGACCAGTGAACGCCGCCCCTGGACTTGGGAAACCCGAATGGGCGACCCTCCTCCGATGGATGAATCAAGGCCCGCGGCTGGCTGTGGACTGGGGAGCCCTGCCCCCGCCCCCCTGCGTCCTGCCTTTGAGTCTCTCCGGGTGTGATGTCCAGCTAATCGGAGACTAAAAGCCGGAGTGGTTGGAGAGCGGTCTAAAGAGTTGCGATGGGAGCAGGGACAGAGGCGGGGCCCCGGGGACGGGTTCGACCTGGCGACCGAGTCTGGGCGAAGCCCCCGCTCCCGCCCAGCAGGCGGCTAAATTTACCTAGGCTGACTCAGCCTTTGCCCGGAATGGGGGGCGGGGGGACTGCACCGGGGCAGAGGGAAGAGCGGGCAGGGGTGGGGCGGGGGGCAAGGAAGGGAGCGTCCCAGCCAAGGAGACAGGATGGGCCACAAGTTTCCACCAGAGACGAGTCCTCCCCCCCCCCCCCACGGCGAGCGGGAAGCCCCGAGGGAGGGACAGGTGGGGCTGGGTCAGGAAAGACACTCCAGAGCTTCATAAAGGGGAGGAGTAGATTTATTGGGCACCGACTATGTGCCCGGCGCCTTATATACATTACCGCATTAAATCCTCACAACAACCCTGCGAGGTAGGTGTTTATAAACCCCCATTTGACAGATGAGGAGACTGAGGCTCAGGGAGGTGAAGTGATTTGGCCAAAGGTCACATGGCTAGTCAATGGCAGACACGGAGGAAGTGCCCAAGGTTGGAAAGGAAAAAAAAAAAAAAAAAAAAAAAAAGACTTAAACGTCAGTCTTAAGCCTGTCGGCGGCGGCGGCGTGGATGAATACGAAGAAGGGCTCGGCGCGCCCCAGAGGTCTGGGAGACCGGAGGCCTGCTCCCGGCCCCGCGCGCGGAGGCTCGGAGGTGTCAAGGCGGGAAACCGGCGCCGGGGGACTAGGGACCCCGAAAACTGGCCGTGCGGCTGGTGTAGGGGCGGCACTCGAGCACCAGCAACCGGGGGAATCCGCGACCTGCGCGCGCCCCGTAGTGGCTCCAGCGAGTATCACACCCCGCACCGGCTGCTGAAGATCAGCCCCTCATTCCCCTTGGCCTGGCTGTTCTCCGGGAGAGGGGCAGAAACTGTCAGGGAGGGGTCCTATCAGGTGGGCGACACCGTCGGCGGCGTGCGAAATCCCGGTGACACTTCAGAGCATCACGAAGGACACGGAGAGGGAGGAAAGGCGGAAGGCCTAAAAGTGTCCCAAGCTGATTCATTGGCTGCCTTCCCTCTCCAGCTTGGTCCACCACAGGCCAGAGGCAGTGACAGGGCCGGCCGGGGTGATCCTGCTCTGCCTTGGGGAGCACTCACCTAAACTTGGGAAGGTGGGATAGAAGCCCTTGGTCCATTTAAGTCTGAAAAACCTTGACCGTCTTCCTCCGCGCTGCGGAGGAGTGAAGTGGGTAAGAGCCCTCAAATTCTATTCACTTATTCCCCAATTCCCAGGGACCGAAGAACAGGGCGGCAGAAATCGCTCATTTTACATTTGCAGGAATCCGGGATGCTCGGGTGCAAAAGCAGTTAGCCTAAGGTCCACCAGCAAGTCAGTGGCAGAGTTACAACATCCAAGACAGCCCTCGCCCGGTTTGCTGGTTGTGTGTGCATCCATTCCTTCTCTGCCAAAAGCTCCCCTGTCACCTGATCACTCAGTCACTAGGCTCAAGGCCTCTCCATGACTTCTTTCTCTCCTGCTAGGGACCCTGACCTGACCATCGCTTCCTCATGCCTGCCACCGTCCCTGCCCTTCGGCTTGTCTCTCCGCTCGCTTGCCAGCAGCGCCCGAATGTAGCAGGTGTTGAATCCTACCCTCATCTCCCCTGAAGCTAACTAACCCTTGGATTGGCGATGGCTGCCTCGCCTCTCTTTCCTTTCCTCTGTTTCAAGTGTGGGAACAGGTACAGGTGGGGAAAGGAGAAACGGGAAGCAAACGAAGCCTGTAGAGAGCAAAGGAGAACGGTGAGCCCAAGGATGGATGGGCCGAGCCACGCGAGAACGAAAAGGGGCATCGCTGCTCACTCTCTCTCTCGCTTCCCCTGTGGCGTTTTCCTGGTGTCCTCTCCGAAGAGGCCTTCCTCGGTTTGACCGATGACATCTGGAGTCTCCCGGATACGGTCGCTCAGCCCGGCTGTCTTCCCGCCTTCCCTGGGCCGGGTGTTTCCACCCGCAGGCAGGGTCCTCTCATTCCGCCAGGAGGCGCCTGGGGCGTCCGTGTCGCTTCCATCAGAGGAGCCACTATGGACGCTGAGCTCCTCGGCTTCGTCCGAGTCCGAATCCGGGGCGGTGTGGCGGCGGATGCGGGACACGGCTTCCCGCAACGCCCCGGCGTAGGGTCCTGGAGTCCGCGGCCAGCCCCCGCCCGTGCGCCGCAGGACCCCGGCCGCTTCCGAGCTCTTCCCGCCGCCCGCGCAGCCCGGAGCCGCTGGGCCCAAGGCCGGGTGCTCAGGGCTACCTGGCTGCGTGGGGGCGTCTCGCAGGTTCGCTTCGCCGCCGACAGGGAACCCTAAAACGCGGGAGGCGCGGTCCTCCAGGGAAGAATCCCCCTGCTCTCCGCCCTCAGCTTCGCACTCGCGCCCCCCGCCCGGCTGGTTTAAGATACGACTGCTCACCGGCAGCTTCTGGCAAGCTGAGGGATTGGCCTTGACCCCCTCGCCCTCCTCGTGGCAGGGCTGGGGTTGCCCGGGGCTGTCGCTCACAATGCACGGCTCCCCAGAGGGCAAGAGCTGCACCTGCTGGGTGCGAGGGGTCGGAACATACTGGGACTTTATCACCACGCACGTGGCGTCAATGACAAAGATGCCTTCTCTACCAGAGGGGCCTCGGGAACTGCGGGGCAGGGTGTGGGCGCGGCGGGTCGCCTTCCAGACGTCCAGGGTTTCATGCTCTGTCCCCTCTCTTTGACCCAGGGACTCTCTCCACCCGGTGCCTCCGGGAGCCCAGGGTCTGGGGAGAGTCTGGCTGTGTCTAACTGGAGGCTTCTTAGGGGAGGAAAGCCAAGACTTGGGAAGCCAAATACATTCACTTCTTTCATTCCCTTCCCTTGAGCCCTTGAGGTGCTGCCTGGACCTGGGAGCAGGACATGGCGGGGTGCGGATGGTAGACCCAGCGGGAGCTGCCTCGGTGCCTGAACTGCCAGTAGCTTTGGCTTGGGCATGGCCGTCGCCACCACTGTTCAGGCCAGCAGCAGCTAGGCCCGAGCTTTTCTCTATCGGCCCTTTGCAGGACTCTGGCCTGGCTCTGGCCGCTGCACAGCCTGGAGCTCCTCCTAAGAGTCCCCGTCCCTGTCTGAGACCCCAAGCCCCTAGAACATCCCGGTAGATTCGAGGATCTAGCCTCTTCTTCGTGCGCCCTGCCTCTGTCCTGGTGGTGGCTGGAACTGGGACTGATGAGGTGGGCGCCCGGGAGAGCTCGGGGCCTCGCTTAGTCCCCAGGGTCCTGTGGGGGCCTTCGTAAGAAGGTGGAGCCACATAGGGTGGCGGCCGGTCCCAGCGGCGTCTTGGGGTCGTGCCTGCAGCGCCTCTCAGCAGCAGGTGAGCCTCGTAGCTAGGGGGCCCTGGTCTCCTACCTCCCCATGGCCCCGCCCACGCCACCCCTGGGTCACTCTGCGGGAGCGCGGATGGACGGGGCGCTCGCCCCACCTGCCCGAAGCGCTCAGGTCTGGAGAAAACTGGGAACCCGGTTGGTTGGGCCGCCCGAAGGGCGTTCCGGGGCTCTGGGCGGGGCTGACCTAGGGGACTCCGTCGGGCCCCGCCAGCCTTGCGCCTTTTTCTCTCGGTCTCCTTGGCCTCCCGCTCCTGCGACGCCGCTTTCCTTTTCTCTTGTTCCCGGGCTCGGACCTCGGCGAGGGGCCCCGCCCGCCAGTTGGTCGCCTCCTGCAGCACCCTGGTGGCCCAGGGTCGGCGGGGGTGGCGGCTCCGGGGATCCCGGGCGCAGCCTACACCTGGGACAATGAGCAGGAACCCAGGTGAGCAGTTTGTGGGGAAAGGGAGCCGAGGTCCGGGGAGCTGGGAGTACTGGAGACCACTTGGGGCAGCCATGTGGGAGGGTACGCGTGAGCGTGTGTGCGAGTGCACGTGCGTATATGTTAGGGCTGAAGTCGAAATGAGACTCCTCGCCATCTCTCCATGCACACTTTAACAGCGACTGCCCCATGTCACCTCCTGCCCTTTCTCACTACCTCTTCTGTCCCCCTAAACAAGCGCTGAATGAGGCAGGCCCCAGTCCTCGACGAGTGGGGGGAGGGAGGCGCGGGAAAGAGAAGGGGCCAGCAGGGATCGCTGGTGCCAGCAAGGAGGTCTGGACCCCACCTCCCGCCCCACCACTTGCTGCCCCTCACCCCCTCCTTCACTCACGTGCGGCTCTGGGGCCCACGGGCCCAGTAGCTGGCCTGGATGTCCATGGACTGTCGAGAAGGGACGCGACCACTGTAATGACAGGAAATAGTCTTGACTTCAATCACCAACAGCTTGGACTTCTGCACCCAGAGGCAGCTGCCCGACTCCTCATCCTGGAGATCCCGGGGGCTGTCGGGCCCCTCGGAGAATAACGGGCCATCCAGCATCCTGCCCCACCCCACCCCGGCCCCCCACCCTCCCACCCGCCCCGTGAGCCCCCTCCCAACCCAGGGAGCCGGCGCCCACTGCAGAGCGGCAGGCCCAGGGACTGGCAACTATATATACCCGGGCACACGTGTGTGCCTGCCTGTGTGTGTGTGTGTGTGTATGTGTGTGTGTGTGCTCGCGCGCGGGCGCGCGCGCATGTGACACGCCGCCGTGGACCGCTCCGCGCTGCTACCTCCCCCGTGTACACGGCCGCCCCCTGGGGCCTGGGATTGGACGCCCCTTCCCACTACTCAGGTCCCCCAAACCTAATGGGACCCGCGAATGGGCGCGCGCGGTGGGGGGGGGGGACTTCTGATTCTTACCAGGCTTACAGTGCCCCCTCCTCCAGCCCCTATTTCTGCACCCTTCCCGAAGTTTTAACCCTTTGCTCTCCGGCTTGTCAGGTTGCCTGACCACTAGGTCTATGCCTGCCTGTCTGCCTGCCTGGACTCCTTTCTCCGACAGGGAGTGGTGAGAATAGAACTCAAGGTCTCTGCCTGCCACCCTCTGCTGGTTTCCATGGGGTTGGGGTGCAGGAGAGGCTGGCCCACAGCTGGGGGGGCGGGCTATTTTTAGCGTCCGTGGCATTCGGGTGCGGATGAGATGAGTAACCAGTTCAAGCAGTGGAGAGAAGAGGCGGTCGCTTTCAGGCTTTCAGGAAGCTTTTGTGCGACTCTGTGGGACAGCTGCTCCCCCGGCACCCCCAAAGGTGGCACCCGCACCCTTTACTCCTCGCCTCCTTTTCTGCTGGTGTGTAAGGCAGAACTCAGTCTGTCCTGGCCACCTAAGCAACAGGACAACTCTTACTCTAGATGTGGGTGCCCTTCCTTGGACATACTAGCTCCCCTAACCCAGAAGCCAGGATTCTGGGATTACACAGTTCTGTGCCCACACAGCTCCACCAAGCCTTATGTGGGGTGCAGATAGAGTGCTTATATACACTTGTGCCCTAACAGAGGGGGGTGGAGGAAGAATGGTGTGCTTCTGTGGTACAGACAAATCCCCTAGCAACAGAAAGGATAAAAGTGGCCTCTCTTTCCGAGAATGGGGCTCCCACTCATGACTGAATCGACGTCCAGTTCACTTGGCCCAGTGCGGCTCACCTTTTGGACTCACTCTGTTCTGGGGGGGGGGGGTGTTGCATCTTCAGGATTCCCCCCCCCCCAGGCCTGTACCAGGTGTCCCCTGATTCACCATGGTAATGTTAGTGGCAGCACAGCCCACGCCAACCCTTCCATGCAGAGACTTAGCAACCATGCCTGGCAACCATGGCAGCAGCTCGGTGGAGGGGAGGGGGGCAGGGAGGGGGGAAAGAGGGTGGCAACGGCTCCTGAGGAAGAAGAGACCATTTGCTCCTCCTGACTTTTAGGGACAGAAGCCTGTGAGCTTCCCAATTGTATCCCTTGTGTCTTCAGTACCATCCTCAGCTGGAGACTTGGTGGGGGTCTTAGGGGGTAAATGGGAAAAACAAGAGATCCCCCGTTTGTATTTCAGAAAAGTACATGGAACATTTGGGTACAGAGACTTCTTTTTAAGGGGACAGGGACCAAAAGGGTTGTTACAGAGCAGAGACAGGACTCACTGAGGAAGAGGCAGACCTGGCAGCTCTGCTGATCCATCCACTCCCCCCTCATGACCCCTTGCACCTACCAGCTGCACTGAAGGCTTCCAGGTGCTCCTTTCCACTGGGTCCCACCAGCGTTCCACGGCTTTTAAAGCCCTGCCTCCTCCCTAGACAATCCTTGATGAAGGAATGCGACACAAGGAGACATTTGTCCTTCCCACCACGCACCCCTACACACACACACATAAACATGTTCTAATTCTAATAATTTAGAAGTCTCCCTCCCCCAAGCTCGGGAATGTGCTGAGAGAGCTGTGAATGCAGATGCAGGGCTCCCCCGGGGTGCATCAGGGTGCATCGAGAGCTGACCTCTGACGAGTGTTAATGTTTTCCCCGTGTTCCATTGGGAAGCCTGCTTTGGAAGAACAAGGATAGTATGACAGAGGTTCCTCTGAAGGCATAGGCAGAGGAGGGAGAGCCAAGGAATTGTTCAGAACCTACTCCTGGCTTGGATGCAAACTGTCCTATCAGCAAAGCAGTGGTAGAGAGGAACGCAGTCTGGCAGTCCTCATGGTGTTGGCGGCTACGTTCAGTCTGGGTAGTTTCAGCACAGACAGTGGGTCTGGTGGGTTGACCGCAGCTCTCTTTTCCTCCATGATTTACTCTACCTTACAAGAAAGGCAAGGGCCGGCAGTGGTGGCACACGTCTTTAATCCCAGCACTCGGGAGGCAGAGCCAGGAGGATCTCTGTGAGTTCGAGGCCAGCCTGGTCTACAGAGCGAGATCCAGGACAGGAACCAAAACTACACAGAGAAACCCTGTCTTGGAAAATGAAAGAAAAAGAAAAAAAAAAAAAAAGGATCTGTGGGTTCAGAATCAGTCCAGCCAAATCCAAACCACTCAACCTTCCTCCAGAAACCCTGATGATGTTGGCAGACCTCTCTGCCCAAAGACCCTAATCAGTTCTCCAGTTTCCAGAGACCTAACATTAGTGAATTTACCCTGGGCCCTAACTATGGTCCAGGCAGAGGAGAAAGTAAGAGAAACTACAGGAAATAAGCCAGGAACAGTCCTGAGAGAATTAGAGAGGAAAATTAGTGTAGAGATAAGAAAACATAAAACCTGGAACCAGACAGCTTAAATATTAGCTTTTTTTTTTTTTTGAGACACGATCTCACTATGGAGCACCTGGAACTTGCTATGTAGAGCAGGCTAGCCTCAAACTCAAGAGATCTGTCTGCCTCTGCCTCACTAGTACCGGAACTAAAGACATAGGCCTCCATGCCTGCCAGCCTTGCTTTTAAAAAATGTATTTATGTATATGCACAATGTTGTGTGTGTGAGTGCACACGGCATGTTGTAATGTGGAGGTCAGGACAATTTTGTGGAGCCTGTTCCCTTTCTACCTTTAAATGGGTTCTGGCAACTAGACTCAGTAGCTAAGCTTGCACGGTGAGTGCCTTTACCTGTTAGCTGTGCTTTTTACCAGGTGTGTGCCTCAGTTCTAAATTCTCTTAAAACTGGAAAAGGTTGCTGAGTGGTAGTGGTGGTGGTGGCGGCGGCGGCGGCGGCGGCGGCGGCGGAGGAGGAGGAGGAGGAGGAGGAGGAGGAGGAGGACTTTAATCACAGTATTTGAGGAGCAGAGGCAGGCAGATCTGCACAGTGAGTTCCAGGACAGCCAGGACTACACAGAGAAACCCTGTCTTGAAAAACCAAACCAACCAACCAACTAGAACTGGAGAAGGTGCTGAGATGGCTCAATTGGTAAAATATTGGTCTCAAAAGGTTGAGGCACCGAGTTCAGATCCCCAGAACCTACATAAAAAGCCACATATGAGCCGGGCGGTGGTGGCGCACGCCTTTAATCCCAGCACTCGGGAGGCAGAGACAAGCGGATCTCTGTGAGTTCAAGGCCAGCCTGGGCTACCAAGTGAGTTCCAGGAAAAAGGCGCAAAGCTACACAGAGAAACCCTGTCTCGAAAAACCAAAAAAAAAAAAGCCACATATGGTGGCGTGTGCTTTTAATCCCATGGGTCCTGGAGTCTGTCGGCCAGCTACCCTTGCCTACATCATGAAATCCCAAGCCAATGAAAGACAGTGTCTCAAAATAAAAAAGTGTCACCTAAGGTGGAAGGTGAGGACTGTCACCCAAGGCTGTCCTTCAGCTACCACTTGCCTACACACACAAAGGTTTTTTTTATCCTTGTTTTTGTTTCTAGACAGGGTTTCTCTATGTAGCCCTGGCTGTCCTGGAACTCATTCTGTAGCCCAGGCTGGCCTCGAACTCAAGAGATCCACCTGCCTCTGCCTCCTGAGTGCTGGGATTAAAGGCTTGGGCTACCATGCCTGGCTCACAAAGATTTTTTTTTAAAGTCTGACCCTGAATGCAGCAGCATGTGCCTATAATCTCAGTACTTAGGAGTTGGAGGCAGGAGGATTGCTACAAACCTGAGGCCAGCCTGATCTACATATGGTACAAAATCCTGTCTCAAAAAAAAAAAAAAAAAATTGCCGGATGACAGTGACTCACGCCTCTGATCTCAGCACTCGGGAGGCAGAGCCAGGCAGATCTCTCTGAGTTGGAGGCCAGCCTGGTCTACAGAGCGAGATCCAGGACTGGCACCAAAACTACATGAAGAAACCCTGTTTCAAAAACAAAAAAACAAAACAAAAAAAATCATAAATTCTCCCAAGAGCAAAACCCTTAAGAGTCCCATACAACCTGTATAGTTAAACCACTGAGAACATGTACTTTAATGTGTAGTATCATTACTGTTGTTATTGATGAGCTGAAGTAGCTTTATAAGGTAGGAAGGTTGTCGAAACAGTGTCTATCAAATGCAGAAACCAAACACTGCAATACCATGATGAAAACCTTGTCATTTAATTAGATTTGCTACAAAAAGCATTAATCTTGGCTACCTACCCATTGCCCTCCTCCACACAGCCATCTGCCTTCATATGCACAGAGCACAGGAACCCAGACACGCACCTCCCAAGATTTATGGGAAGAAATGACATAAAATGGACTCAGCCTCCTCCACACAAATGAAGCAGTATGAATAAAAATATTTTTAAGAAGACTTTGTGGAGCTATTATCTTTGGTGGAGTAAGGGCAGAGACGGAGCTGGGGCACGGTGAGGTGTAGGGATCTCGTAGAGATCAGCATCTGCCTGAGGAGCACAAAGCCCATGGCTCCCCCAGAAGGGCGCTATGTCTAAGGGCACAGGACTAGGATTGGCTAGGCTCAACGTTCTCTCAAATGTACACATGATGGGAAGGGAAGCTAAAAGTCCTTTCTCCTCATTCCCCGTCTCCTCTAGTTCCAGACAGTGGGTATGGAGCTCCCGAGGGAACAGACTCAGTTCTCCCAGGATTTCATCTGACTCCCAGAGCTTCTGAGAGGCAACGAGGGCCGCGCTCAGGGCGTCTTCTCTCCACCTGTGAGCACCAGAGCCTGCAGGATGTCAGACAGCGACACGATGCCCTTGACCACATCACTCTCATCCACCACCACCAGACGGTGAACCTGGCACAGAGCAACGACAAGCAGGGTTAGTGCTAACTTCGGTGAGGGTGAGCGCCTCGGCCCCGGCCTTCTTTGAAAACACCACTCCCAGGCCACTCCCCACTAGTCGCTTGAGGGGGGCTGGCCTCCTACCTCCGCTTCCACCAGCCTGTTAATGATGGTTTCCAGGGTCTCGTGTAGGTAGCACTTGAGAACACCCTCAAAGTAGTGGGACCGATGTTGGAGGGCTTTCGTCACGGACACATCTAGGTTGTTGTAGGTCTTTTCTGCTGCCAGATTCTGGAGGTGGGGGTGCACTTGAAAGGGGGCCAGTTCCTGAACCCTGGACCAACCCAACCTCACTAGAGAGACTGAGGGCACTCCTCAGCTCTGCCCACAAGCCAGAACCAGTCTGTTCAGCTACTGTCCAGACAGGATTCAAAGCACAGAAGCGGCTGACATAGAAGACGCCCTGCTGCTTCCCGCCCCTCCCTCCCCGCCCCTCCACTGTCACTCACAATCACATCAAACTTGGAGTAGATGTCCACAACTCGCCCTAGGGAAACAGAGGCAGCTCAGAAAAAAAAAAAAAGAAAGAAAAATATCTGGTAGCCAAAGCTCTTTCCACCCACAGGTTCACCTTCCAGCCGAGCTGAGGGGAAGCAGGTTTTCCCAGAGTACGGAAGCCCACACTTCTTTCCCAGTCGCTCACCTTTCTCATCCACCACAGGCAAGGCGGAGACTCGGTGTTGAACAAAGATGCCTAGCGCCACATAGACGGGCGTGGTAGTGCGCACCATAGCGATGTTGGCATAGGTGCCAATCTGTAGCTCTTCCAGAGACTTAGACATGAACTCGGGCTTGGGGAACTCAGTGATCTGAGGGAAGAATCATCGGCTTTCAGGGGGTTCTGTGGTATAGCATGAAGTGCCGGGTTCAATCCTCAGGACCCAAAACACTGACTCGGCTTGACTTTTAAGGCCCCCCAATTTGCTGAGTGTATGCCTCCAGTCCAGCATGTAAGACACGTGAGCTGCGTTAAGGTGCACTTACAAACAGCTTGAGGAACTTGAGGATGCGCTTGTGAGTAAGGATGTACAGGGTGTTGCCTGATTCCGGGTCAATAACTGGAAGTCTGTGGATCTTATTTCGAATTAATGAAGACACAGCGTCAAACAAGCTGTGAAAAGGTAGAAGGTCAAGGTTAGGTTCCACAGCGTTGAACTGTACCACTCCTTACAGTGTGTTTACGGACAGGGAAAACTCGTGGTCAGAGGAAAGGGCAGTGCTCAACCAGACTTAAAGTGGAGTGATGTGGCTGAGTGTGGTGATGTATGTCATGCCAGCATGAGGACAAGCGGAAGAATCGTAACTCAGGCCAGCCTGAGCTCTGCAGTAAGATTAAGATCAAGGCCAGTCTTGGCTATGGGGGAGATGTGTGCGCACTGGAAGAAGTCCTCCCTCTCCCTGCTCCTGCCTCCAGGTGTTGAGGGATGGACACACAGCCGGAACCGACCTGGCATTTGGAGAGATGCAGACAAGTGGCTTAAAGGAGTCCTGCAGGTACACCTCTGGAGGGAAAGGGGTGGTTCATAAAACACTGCCACGGGAAGTGGCTCCCAGGAAACCCCCAGCCCTTCATCTCCCACCACCTCTACTCCTTATGTACCTCTCCAAGTTTCTATCTTGTGTTCTTCCAGCTCATAGATCTGTACCTAGAAGCAGAAGCAGCAGATCGGAGACTTGCTCTCCCTTTTCATTAACCCCTCAGGGGCTTTGCCTGGAGGGAAAACCAGGCATGATGGACCCCAGGTGAGGACCAGAGGTAGGGTGTGGTTTGCTCTGGAGGCTCCCTGCCTTACCAAGGCTGACTTATAATATCGGTGCAGGATATTGATGAAGTCAGTGATGGTCAGCATCCCTAGAAGCCAAGACAAGAGCCCTCAGCACAGCTCAGGGCATCTTCTCGACCGGTAAAAGATGCCAACGGGCGTGTTCCAGAAACTTCTGCTTACCCACAAAACTCTGCTTCTTACTATCCCACAGAGGGGCAGCTCGAACACCATTAGTCACCAGGGCAAAGAAGGCTTTCTTTACCTATAGCCAAAAGAGTAAGATCCTAAGGCGGTAAGACAGAAGGGGTTGGCGTGTGGAAGTGTCAAGTATGATGACGGGCACAGAACCAGCGGCTCCGGGGAATGGAGAAAAGGGACCCGACCCACCTGCAGGGAAGTGTCAAACACAACCAACTTGGAACTTGTGGGGATCAGGTCATAGCAGCGGTGAGACTTCATAAAGGAAGTGTACACACCGTTGTTCGATTCCGGGGTCTCTGCACAGGGGAAAAGTCAGAAAGTTGGTGTCTTTCTTTTATGCAAGAACTCACAATCACAAGAGATAGAAACCAAAAAAAAAAAAAAAAGAATTCTAGTTTCTCAACTCCGAAGGGAGTTTTGTTTTGCACTGTTTCTCATCTTTTCATTAGAGTTTTTCTTCCTATTGAACATTTTTCATTTATCTTTTCTTAACAAAGTCGAGATATCAAGCAAACTTCTTTACATTTGTTGACGACCTGCAGGTGGGAAACTCATGGTTCAGGCAAGGACATCCCTAACAATGCCAAGTGCTCAATCTACTTGGTCAGAACACTCAGCACCACAGTGTGAGTCAGAAATCCTAAAGGGAGCCTGGCTACATTCACCCCCATTCTTCTGATTTACACATTTCTTTTCTTGCTTCTTAAATAACTGTAAGGTTTTTGGTTTTGCTTTTTAGATAACTTTTTTCTTGTGTGTATGGGTGTTTTACTTGTATATCTGTGCACCGTATGTGTGCCCGGTGCCTGATGAGGCCAAGAGGGAGCTGGAGCCCCTGGGAGGTACTGACAGTTGTAAGCTGTCATGTGGGTGCTGGGAATTGAACTTGAGTCCTCTGGAAGAACTGCCAGTGTTCTTCTGCTGACCCAACTCTGCAGCCCCTTCATTTTCTTGAGATAGAGTCTTGCTATGTAGCCTAGGCCGCCTCAAGCTTGCAGTAATCTTACTGCCTTAGTTCTCCAAGTGCTGGGATATCAGGCATGCAACGCCATGCCTGGCAGCCTGTGCTTTTTAACTGCTTGCTCTAAACTGGAAAGGCAACCCTGTAAACTAATACTCTGGATGGTCTATGTACTATAATATATACTTAAAAGTACTGCATCATTTAACATCCCACTCCTTTCCCCCTTTTGTCAAGACAGGATTTCTCTGTGTAGCCCTGGCTGTCCTGGAACTCACTGTAGACCAGGCTGGCCTCAAACTCAGAGATCCGCCTGCCTCTGCCTCCTGAGTGCTGGGATTAAAGTCATGCGCCGCCGCCACCGCCACCAACAACCTGCATCTCTGAATGCTTACTGTTCTATTAAGTATTATCCTTGTGTTTTGGGTGAGAAAACACATGCAGACCAGTTAAATGAACTGTTCAAGGTCATATCATTGAGTGAGTGGCAAGAAATACTCTGAGCCCTGCCTAATTCTGTACTAGACTCCCAGCACCCCAGCTGGTTTTTAAAAAATTATTTCTGGCCGGGCGGTGGTGGCGCACGCCTTTAATCCCAGCACTCGGGAGGCAGAGCCAGGCGGATCTCTTGAGTTCGAGGCCAGCCTGGGCTACCAAGTGAGTTCCAGGAAAAAGGCGCAAAGCTACACAGAGAAACCCTGTCTCGAAAAACCAAAAAAAAAAAAAAAAAATTATTTCTAAGCCGGGCGGTGGTGGTGGTGGTGGTGGTGGTGCACGCCTTTAATCTCTGTGAGTTCAAGGCCAGCCTGGTCTACACAGCGAGATCCAGGACAGGAACCAAAAAACGAGGTGGTGGCGGTCTCGCACACCTTTAATCCCAGCACCTGGGAGGCAGAGGCAGGGGGATGTCTGAGTTGGAGACCAGCCTGGTCTACAGACGGCCAGTGCTATAGCAATGCTGCCTCAGAAAAAAAAAAAAAATCTAGTATTTTTTTTCTCCCAGTGCTAGGGAGCAAACCTGGGTCACGTCAGTCAAGCACCACATCACTAAACCACATTCCCAGCCCTCAATGTCTCGGGACAGGCTTTGGGAGGGGCTAGTTCTGAGAGCAGTATGAAGCCCAGATCCCCATGTGTCTCTCCAGTGATGGGACTATCAACAAACACTACCACACGAGGCTCCTATCAGTTTCATTTTTATTTTTGAGGCAGGTTCTCAAGTAACACAGCAAGACTCAAACTCCCTATGCGGCCAAGAATGACCTTGAGCTGACCTTCCTGACTCTAGCTCTTACAGGTATGAAATAATACACCTCCGGAGGGAATATCCCTTCAGGGGCCTTGACAGTGTTTTTTTTTTTTTTTTTTTTTTTTTTTTTTAATTTTTCACTTTTATTTATGTGTACGGGTGTTTTGCCTGCATGCCTTGTATCCTTGGAGGCCAACAGGTGGTTGTGAACTACCACATGGGTGCTGGGAATTGAACCCAGGTCCTCTGAAAGCGAAGCCAGTGCTCTTTGCCACTGAACAATCTCTCCAGCCAGTGCTTTTTTTTTTTTTTTTTTTTTAAAGCCAGGGTCTCACTAGTTAGCTCAAGCTATGTAGTGACCTCTTAAAAGGGGAGGCGAGAAGGGTCATGTGGCTCCTGGGCGTGATAGCACACTGAGGCTAGGTGCATGCGTGTGGGTGCTGAGAATTGAACCTGGGTCCTTTGGGATGGAAGTCAGTGCTCTTAACAGCCCAGCCATCTTGCCTCTCTCTCTCTTTTTTTTTTTTTAACTTTTTTTTTTTAATTTTTATTTTTATTTTGCAATACAATTCAGTTCTACATATCAGCCACGGATTCCCTTGTTCTCCCCCCTCTGGCCCCCCTCACCTTGCCCCCAGCCCACCCCCCACTCCCAGTCCTGGTGGGGGGAGGGCTTTGCCTCTCTTTTGACAGGTCACTAGGAAGGCAAGAAGCACCACCTCCTTCCCGCAGTATAGCCCAAGGTCATAGGCGGAGCAAACACCACTACAAAGCTAGTCTCACACCTTGCCTCAGCCTGAGTACCCGGGTCCCAAGTGTGCACCCCCACACCCAGGCTGTCCTTATTCCTGTGCATGCTCACACTGCCACTTTCTGACTTCATTTCACTTTCAATCATTATCTTCCTAAAAAGACAAGAATTGTGAGTTCTCTTTCCAAACTGACATCAAGTACCTTCATTTTGCAGCCCCCATCCTTCCGGGAGTTAAATCCTAATCCTGGTTACATCAGTATTTAAACCATTTTGACCAAATATGCATCGTCAGAGCTAAGTTAAATAAGAACCTTTTCCTTGGAGCTGGAGTGATGGCTCAGTGGTTAAGGCGACATATTGCTCTTCTTCCCAGTGCCCACATCAGATGACCCACAAGCACCTGTAACTCCAGCTCCAGGGACATCACCTGTGGCCTCTGTGTGGTCACCTGCACTCAGATGTGCACACACACAAGTACACATAATTGAAAACAATAAGTAAATAAAAACCATTTTCTTTCTCTGGCACTTTCTATCACCCCTGGAGTTAACAATGGTCCAGTTGACTTTTTCTGTCTGTTTCCTTGTGGGACAGGAAACAGTTGGACCACCTTTTAAATACTCTCTTTAGATGTCTGCTAATTTTGGTTTAAACAGGATTCAGGAGCTGGGCCATGGTTCAGTGAAAAGGGGCTTACCCCAAGTGTCAGAACCTGTGTGAAAGCCTGGGAAGCACAGACAGAGGAACCCAGGGTAAGCTGATGGCAGACAGTCACAACTGTCGAGTTGTGGTTTAGGGAGACCCCGCCTCAGTAAATGAAGTGGGGAAGAGTGACTGACAGAAGAAGACACCTGATATCAAGCACAAGCCTCCACACGCGCCCGTGGCACACACAGAAACCGGCCTCCAATTCTATTTCTGCACATTTTATCTAAATCGTATCTTAAGTGGGAACACTTGAATGCCAACTGGAGGCTCTAAATGCATAAATGAGGTTGTTGACTGTAAGCCATTCAGAGAACATCCAGTACTTGTGTTTGTAGGTTTTCTTGTCAAGGAGAGTCTACAGATGATCCTTTAACCCTGAGCCTGGAAGACTGAAGTCTTTTCTGGTTAGAATTCTGGACGCTGGATGGGGGAGGCTCGGCATCCAGCATAGTTTCCTTCAGGTTCTGGTTTTCAGTACAGTGTGTGAACTGCTCTCCACACCCGAGTCCTGGCCTGGGTGGGGAGGAACCGCAGCTCAGCAGTATGCAACCAGACAGTCGGTCTTGGGATATGTCTGTTCCCTACACTTTCAAACTTCCTTTACTGTTAACTACAATGCACTCTTCTCAGGTCAGCTAAGTCATTTAATTATCTCCCACACACTCTCCAGCTTCCACAACCCATTTCTACAGTTCCCTCTCCTGTTCTTATTTTTGTAGGTTTGTACTAAAAAAAGAAAAAAAGTCCTCTAGGGTAGTTGTGTGTGCATGTGTACATGTGCACATGCCAAGGCATGTGAGGACTGCCTTGTGCAGCTGGTTCTCTCCTCCCGCCTTTTGGTGGGTTTTGGGTATCAAACTCAGGTTGCCAGGCCCGAACGGCTAGCAGCTTTATCTGCTGAGCCATCTCATCAGCCCAGGATTTTGATTTTGATTTTATGTTCATGCAGTCCCTGTGGCGGCCAGAAGAGGGCATCAGATCCCCGGGAACTGGAATTACAGACAAGACCCTGTGAGCTGCCATTGGAGGTAGGAAAGGAAACCAGGTCCTTTAGAAGAGCACGCTCTTAATGGCTGAGCTATCTCTGAGCCCTTTGCTCTGTTTCTCAAAGGACTGAAGGTGGATGTAGGCACTCAATCTACCATGGTAACTGGAAGACTTCCATTGTTTCTCAAACATGAAAACCCAACTCACAGATACCAAGACAGCTTTAGACACCAGCCGAAGATATACTACACCGAGTTAGATGCTATCATTTTAAGTCAGAAGCCCACACGCGTATTGAATTTGGATTTCCCAGTTTTAAAAATAATTTAAATCACTTTCCAAATTTAAAAACTCTACAAATTTACATAAAAATCCAAATTCTCAGTTTCTTTACAAAAATGAGATCTGGCAAAAATAGGTCTTAATTGAGCAGATATAGATAGTTGCTGTCTCCTTTTAAGTGGGACACAAGATTTATAAGTTGTTGTTTGTCATATTTAGTCCACCTCATCTGTTTCATCCAAATAAACTGAGTTTCTGCTGCCTGCTTCTCCAAGTTTCTGTCTTGGAGCTACCACAGATGTACTCAGAAACACACAACAGGCATTGATATCCTATGCAGTATTCAATGATGAAAAGCCATCTAGATGATGTAACCTACAATGACACTGATTTGTTTTTTGTTTTTCAAGGTAGGGTGTGGTGGTTTGAACAAGAATGACTCCCACAGAATCAAGCTGAATGCTTAGGGAGAGGCATTAGAAAATGGGGCCTTGTTGGAGCAGGGGTAGCCTTGTTGGAGGACTTGTCTCTCGACGGGTAGGCTTTGGGGTTTCAAAACTCCAAGCCAGGCCCAGTGGCTCTCTCTCTTTCTGCTGCCTTTGGATCAGGATGTAGAACTCTCAGCTCCCTCTCCAGCACATCTGCCTGCATGCCACCATGCTTCCTGCCATGATGACAATGGACTAAACTTCTGAATTGTAAACCAGCCCCCAATTAAATGTTTTCCTTTATAAGAGTTGCTGTGAGCCGGGCGGTGGTGGCGCACGCCTTTAATCCCAGCACTCGGGAGGCAGAGCCAGGTGGATCTCTGTGAGTTCGAGGCCAGCCTGGTCTCCAAAGCGAGTTCCAGGAAAGGCGCAAAGCTACACAGAGAAACCCTGTCTCGAAAAACCAAAAAAAAAAAAAGAGTTGCTGTGGTCGAAAATTGGGAATCGATCTACCTCAAGACCCAGCCATACCACTGTTGGGCATATACCCAAGGAATGCTCAATCACACCACAAGGATACATGCTCAACTATGTTCACAGCAGAACTTGGAAACAACCTAGATGCCCGTCAACTGAAGAATGGATTAAGAAAATGTGGTACGTATACACAATGGAGTACTACTCAGCAGAGAAAAACAATGACAGCATGAGGTTTGTAGGCAAATGGATGGAACTAGAAAATATCATCCTGAGTGAAGTAACCCAGACCCAGAAGGACAAATATGGTATGTACTCACTTATAAGTGGATACTAGATATAAAGCAAAGAACAATCAGACTGCAACCCACAGATCCAGGGAGGCTATATAGCAGGGGGGACCCTAGGATGACTGTGGCTTATAATAAGTTTTGGTTTTACTCAATTACTGGGCAAGCCTCAATGAAACATTTCACTATTAGGACAAGAATTTCTACTGGGGCTGGAGAGATGGCTCAGAGGTTAAGAGCACTGACTGCTCTTTCAGAGGTCCTGAGTTCAATTCCCAGCACCCACATGGTGGCTCACAACCATCTGTAATGAGATCTGGCACCCTGTTCTGTGTACATAATAAATAACTAAATCTTAAAAAAAAGAATTTGTACTGTATCAAGCTGATAATAGAAAAATAAATTAATTAATTAATTAAAAAAAAAGATTTGCTGTGGTCATGGTGTCTTTTCACAGCAATAGACACCCTAACTAAGACATAGGGTTTCTCTGTGTAGCCCTGGTTCTCCTGGAACTCACTCTGTAGACCAGACTGGTCTCAAACTCAGAGATCCACCTGCCTCTGCCTCCTGAGTGCTAAGATTAAAGGCATGCAAGACCACCACCCAGCTGATTTTTTTAAGCCAATAAAACAGAACAATTTAAAATTCTTGTCAAGAACTCACAGAAGTCTTATTAATATATCCTTGGATTTTCTTGGATACTGGGTTTTTTGTTTTTGTTTTTGTTTTTTTGCTGTTTGAGACAGGGTTTCTCTGTGTAGCCTTGTTTGTCCTGGAACTCGTCTGTAGACCAGGCTGGCCTCCACCACAGAGATCTGCCTGCCTCTACCTCCCTTCAAGGCATGCACCACTACCGCCCAGCTGACTACCTCTTTTTAAAAATTTTGTGTTTCAGCCAGGCAGTGGTGGCGCACACCTTTAATCCCAGCACTCGGGAGGCAGAGCCAGGTGGATCTCTGTGAGTTCGAGGCCAGCCTGGGCTACCAAGTGAGTTCCAGGAAAGGCACAAAGCTACACAGAGAAACCCTGTCTCGAAAAAAAAAAAAAATTGTGTTTCTGTACATCTGAGTGCAGTTACTGGAACCCTGTTTTTCCCACGTATGTACATGAATGTCTGTGTACATGCATGTGTATGTGGAAACTCAAGCTTGATGTTGAGTGTATTCTTTGATCAATCTCTCTCCTTCCACTTCATTTACTGAGCAGAGTCTCAGTAGTCTTTATGAGTCTGGACAAACAGTTTGCTCTGGGGATCCATCTTTGACTCCTGAGTGCTGGGATTACAGGCCATGCTTGCTCAGCATTTACCTGAGTTCTGGAAATCCAAACTCCAGTCCTCACACTTCCAAAGCAAGAGCTTTCCCACTGAATTTTGTTTAAACCAAGGATTCACAAGCATCTAAAAGGGTGTAGGGGTGGGGAGACGGCTTCGTGTTCTCATAGAGGACCCGAGTTCAGTTTTCAGCACCCACATGGTGGCTCATAAGCATCGGTACTTCCAGTTCTAGAGGATCCAACATCCTCTCTTGACCTCCACAGGCACCAGCACATACACGATACACAGACATACATGCAGGCAAAAAACACTCATACACTTAAATAATTCTTTAGTGTACAATAGTGACCCACATTGTCCCCCATACCAAACACAGTCCAAGGGAACAAGCAAACAGGCGACTGGAGGGAAGGTACAGGGAACCTGTCCACAGAACAAAACCTTGACAACAATATAATATACTCAGGGAAAAGACATTTTCAAAAAGGGAGGGCTTGGAGGGCTGCAGAGATGACTCAGAAGACACTGGCTGCTCTTCCAGAAGACCCAGGGTCATTTCTCAGCACCTACATGGTGGCTCACAACTGCCTGTTAACTCTAGTCTCAGGATCCAACACCCTCTTCTGGCCTCTACAGGGACTAGGCACACATGTAGTACACAGACATACATGCAGACAAAAAAACTCATAGACATAAACAAACAGAATGTCTTTTGAAATCTATAAAGGGGATTTCCAGGCTGGGGTGTACCTCAGGGTTCGAACACTTGCCTAGCATGCACAAAGCCTTGGGTTCGATTCCAGCCCTGCAAATAATCGGCATAGTTGTGCTTAGGGGGTGGAAGACAAGATGATGGGAGGTTCAAAGCCATCTTCAGCTACTGTCTTAGGGTTTCTGTCACTGTGGTGACACACCATGACCAACAGCCCACTGGGGGAAACCAAGGCAGGAACTCAAACCAGGAGGGAACTTAGAGCCAAGAGCTGATGCAGAGGCCATGGAGGGGAGCTGCTTACTGGCCTGCTCAACATGGCTTTCTTAGATCACTCAGGACCCCAGGGGATGGCACCACACACAATGGGCTGGGCCCTCCCACATGAATCACTAATTAAATGCCCTACAAGCTTGCCGGCAGCCTGATCTTACGGAGTCATTTTCTCAGTTGAGGTTCCCTAGCTTGAGTCAGGTTGACATAAAACTGTCCAGCACAGCTACAAATCAAATTTAAGCTCAGCCTGAGCTACACAAAACCCTGTTATCTAATATATATATATATATATATATATATATATATATATATATATATATATACACACATATCCTAAGTATCTGAAAGACTCTGTGTAGGAGGGCCAAGATCTAAATAGTAAGTAAGACTCACAGAAACGGAAAATTGTTGGCATAGAGGACATAATCAAGTGCTGTTCATGTGTGGAGTCTAGAAGAGGGTATCGGGTATCATTCTCTGTCATCTTCCACCTATTCCTGGGAGGCAGGGTGACTCCCTGAAGCTGGAGCTTGTTTCCTCTGTCAAGGTACAGCCAGCAAGCCCCTGTGATCCTTCTGTCTCAAACTCCCTTGGAGTTTGGGCTACAGGGTATGTGGGACACCTAAAGCTATGGGATCTGAATTCCAGCCCTCAGGATTGCACAGGACGTGCTCTTAAAACCCCAAACCGCGGCCGGGCGGTGGTGGCGCACGCCTTTAATCCCAGCACTCGGGAGGCAGAGGCAGGCGGATCTCTGTGAGTTCGAGGCCAGCCTGGTCTCCAAAGCGAGTTCCAGGAAAGGCGCAAAGCTACACAGAGAAACCCTGTCTCGAAAAACCAAAAAAAAAAAAAAAAAAAAAAAAAAAAACCCAAACCGCGTCATCTCTCCAGCCCCACTATATAATCTCTTGAGATTTATACTCAGTCTGTATTTTAATCTTTTGGGAAAATGTGTGTCTAACACAATGAAGGTAAAATTCTTAGGAAAAATAAGAGTGCTCCCAAGCAAATCCTTTCCCAGAGAAGTGGCGAATTGATTCTTTCATTCATTTGTGCTGCTGGGGCTTGAACCTATGGCTGCACACATGCTAGGTAAGTGCTCTGCCACTAAGCCACATCCCCAGACATCCTGCCTCTTTCCCTAGACATTCAAAAGGATCGCTGAAGACAAGGTCAGGCTTCAGCTTTCACATGTGGACCCCTCTCCTCAGCTGACTTCAGGATACACGTACCTTGAGAGTGCTCGTTCTCCGGAGCTGGGGAGCTCTCTAAAGCGACCTGGAAGACAAGAAAAGCACAGTCACCTTAACTGAGACTCCATCCTCTCTTGGCCTCACATTAGAAAAGGCTACTCGGAAGGCTAATGTGGGAACAGCATCATGAACTTGAAGCCAGGCCAGCCTGGGCTACTATATAAGCAAAACTCTGTCTCAAAAAGACACACACACACAAAGCTGGTATGGCTAGGGATACAGATCGGAGGTAGAACATGTGTGAGACCCTAAGTTCAATTCCCAGCATTGATTAAAAAAAAAAAAAAAGTACAGCAGGGCAAGGCTCTTCAAGAAATATTCTTCAGTTGAGTGTGGTGGCACCTACCATGTGGGAGGGTGAAGAAGGGAGAATCAGGAGCTTCACAGGAGCCTTGGCTACACAACAGATTTGAGGTTAGCCTGGGCTACACGAGACTCTGTCTCAACGTCCCCTCAAAAGACAGAAAGAAATAATATCTCATCTAGTTTTTCTAATAACCTGAGGTAAACACTTATTAACAGTAGAAAAGAGAGTCAAGAGTCCGTAC